AGCTTCAGAAAGCGTAACTTACAACAAGAGAATAAAGAAATGAAATTTGTAAAATAAAAAAAAAAAAAAAAAAAAAAAAAAAAAAAAAAAAAAAAAAATTGAAAAAAAAAAAAAAAAAAAAAAAGAAGAGTAGAGGAAAAACACAGGCTATCCTAACAGAGCAAAAGATTCAGAAAGATTCAGAAAATTTTAAGCATAATGTCTGGACAAATATTTTAAGCCTATACAATTCTATTGCAAAGAATTCATCTAGATCTTGAATGTCTCTTGTGGTCTTACCTATATGTAAGTACATGAAATGGAAATATAGGACTCTTTCAAACCTGCAGTATCAGTGTAAGCAATCATTCACCGTACAGAAATCAAGGTGAAATGTTTGAGATTACCTGATTAAGTGGAGCCATCTGTCTTAGGGGAAAAAGTCAGGGCCTGATTGGCTTGACAATACTTGCACTTCATTGCATTCTTCTAGGTATCCCTAATATCTATCCATCTAACTGTATCAGTATTTACAAGTGGTATTCCTTGTTTTTAAATGCTTTATGAAAACAAGTGTCTGTTACTGGTCTTCTAAAAAGAACATTTCAATTTAAAGTCTAAAATAAGAAATTAAGCTATATCATTTCCTTATCTGTTTTGCTACAATACACTGAACCTCACTCCTTAAGAAAAGTAAGCATAAGCTGAACTTAAAGTAAGTAGACAGCCTAGTAATGGAACTATTTACTCACCCAAAAATTATTCAGTGCCTTACATAGTGGTCACAAAGCCTATTTGCCATTGCCTGTACACAAGAGCATGTTCTGAGGTATGCTACCAGTACATTTGTGTGTCTGTACATGGGAGGAGAAAAGGGCAGTAGCTTCTGGGGCAAGAGAATTCAAAAAATTAAATTATGACTGGGTTGGGAAGCACACTAGCTCCAGGAGCCAAAGAAGACCCAACTCCCACAGTAAGGAACAGCCTGGATGTCTAATACAATTCTGTGGCAATAGGGACTCAAGAAGCTGGCTAACTCTGCTTGGCATTGCCCCTCTGCACCATTTCTGCTTCCTGATCAGAGTTGCTATTTCATACGTATCAGTACAGTACTATTGCTTTTCTGCCTAGATAACTCTAGAAGCTGAGAAATACTTCAAAGAAAGAAAGGTCAGAGTACTGTATGATAGCTGGCCTCCAACTGCCTCCCTGCACTTCCCAGGCTGTCAGCATGTTCTTCCTGATCATGCAGCCATTCTGGGCTGAGTGTCAGCCAGTTCATTTTTTTCTACTCAACTCGTCTCAATGGATACACATTTTTAAGGGCACACAGCCCCAGAGTAGGCAGAATGTCTGAGCTCTGCAGATTCAACTCCCCAGCTTGTTGCATCCCAAGCAGGGAACATGCATATGAAACCCAAACATGAAGCAAGCAGGATTACAGATCAGTGGATTTGAGACCTTGTGACCCTGAGAATCACAATTACTTCTCTCTCTTCTCCATCGGAAGATCTAATTACCACAGCCTTTGAAATGTTTGAGCTTATGAACCCAAGGCTGAAAGGAACCACTGGAAGGGTGACTGCATTCAGTTTCACCTTTACTGCCAGCAACCAAGTGATAGATGACTTGCTCAGAAAGGTTCACAGAATGTGCATTCCACATGAACATGACAGCAGAAATACAAAACATTTTGATTAATCTGTAACAATCAAACTAGTAAAATGAACAAAAAAGCAATTAAATCCACACGCAGACAAGACATAAAACCAAGTTAATAAAAAATATTTCAGGTTCCAGAAACAATGAGAGGTTAGATAAATAAAGTTGCACCATAACAAAAAAAAAGTTACAGCAAACCCATATCACAGGAAAAATAAAGCAGGATACAATACTTCATATCATATAATACCTAATGTTTCTGATAGTTTAAAGCTAAGCAGAACCTAGCCATTAGGAACTTTAGGATTTTCATTACAATGACACTGCTAATTACCTGAAGTTTGCCTGTGTGCAGCCAATATTTTATTAGAATACCAAATAGTATGTCAACAAGCTAAATCACAATCCATAAAGGAGAGTAAATGGTTCTCAGTGACCTTAACAAAAGCAATAATGGCCCTAAAGCAGGATATTAAGGCTTCCTTTCCCAGATTCAGAAACTTTTTTCTGTTGTACAATCCCACCAATAAGTACAGCAATAGGCACATAAAAATGAACAGTGCCTCATCTAAATTTACTGAGATTAACACATGTGAGTAACACATATCTTCACTTCATTCTCCTGCAGCATAACACATCATCTTCCTTGCCTTTGTAACTATCTCACTTGTAACTGGTTGTCAATATCAAAATCTAGAAAACAGATGGCTCTCCTACCCCTGCTTGCTTGGCTGAGAGAAGACACATGTGATTGATTAAAAGAGCATATACACCCTTTTAACTTATGTAATCAATAAAACATGAACTAGATCAGAAGTTCCATGGTACTATTTAATTGCTTTAAGATATATGGTCATCTTCCATTTTGTACCTATAAAAACATGAACTGAAACAATACAATTTACCTAAGTCATAATCTTAAGGTCAAAAGCTCATGTTCGGTGATATCCAGCACTGAGAGGGGTTTCATTTTCTTAAGGCTTATAGGCTTAACTATAGCAACTGTTGAGAATCTCAGCTGATACTGATTTTACATTAAATTCTAAATAATTCTAAGTAATTTGTTACTAATAGTGGGTTTAACAGCTGTTTATGTAAATCATTATGAAAGCTTTTAAATTAGTGGATTCATTCAAATCTTTAGATTATTTTTTAATATTCAAACCAAAACAATTATAATCTGTTTATTCTCTTTGTCAAGGTGCCTGCAGAAAAAGAGAAATAAAATCAGTCATTTCTGTGTGAAACACATAGTGCATGATGCTCCTATGAATGGCATATGGCATAAAAAAATAGGTAAGTGAATCCATGCTTTGAGCACTATAAGAAATAGTGAAAAAGGAAACTGCAATTATTGAATCAAATGTATTACCTATGAAAACACTTAAGCATATTCTGAAGCTTTTACTCTCCAAGAACACAGTCACATAAATTTCAGTAAGGTACAAAACTTCCAGTCTCAAAGTAAAGAAAACTCAAACAAATATAGAAGTTAAAAAATGGTTAAGAGAACCTAGTACATAAAACACTATGTTGAGTACTTAATAACCCCACAGCACCTGAGTATTTTCACTTTATCTCACATTCAAGAACAATAAACCTATGAGATTTTAGCATATTATTACAAAACCAGAGAAAATAGACTTGTTTGGCATTAAGTGGGGCTACCTACAGGCAGCTAATTTACAGGTGTTTAAAAACCTGGACATCCAGATATATATGTATCTTACAACAGCATATATCTGCTTTGTTGTATGCCCAGACAGCAACATTAATTTTAAAAATTTACATGAAGTTAAAATTGTGTTCTTCAGACTTTCCAGGATTCAAGTTTAGTTATAGAATTACATCTTAATTATTGCATCCAAGTTCATTCTTCTCAATAGGCATACATCAGGTTTGTAGGAATATAATTAATTATTGGTGTTCATGGTTACTGCACCTCAACTACAATATGCTTCCCACAACTCTAAAGTTACTGAAATCCTCATAACTCAAAGTCAGCTTCAAATAAGTAATACAAAACGGTAGTAAACAAAAAGTCAATTCCACAATTCTTAATATCAAAGTCTCAAAATCAAATTTTCACTCCCTTTCAAGAAAAAAATAACAACAAAACAAAATACTGCTAGTGAGTCATTAGATACAGATATTTAAGACAGCTGAAACAAAACTTAGATCAGCACAATTTCTTATGTATTTAGAAAATTATGCTCCACCATGTTGCTTGGACTTTTCATTTCATTCTGTTAGTAAAAAGACTTAATTACATAGAGTAAACCTAAACAGTTTTCTATCTTGGGAAGATTTTCCTGTGTTTGAACACAGCTTTGAAGAATCAAGTAAGCTAACATTACACTGATTATCACTGATGAGCCAGAGCAAAGGAAAGCAAATTGAGGTCATCAGCCTGTCAGCAATGTGACAGTCTTGAAACGTGTACCTCAGAATTTATAACCCAGACCATTTAACCCTAAAAATGTTTGGCTTATGTATTATACTTTAATTTTGTGGGCTACTTTCACATAGATTGCCTATTACTTATTTCCACTGTAAATACTCAAAAGTTTTGCAAAACCCTTGTTTTCTCAGATGAACTGGGAATTTACATGCTAAAAATAGTGATTTTTCCCCTTTTTTAGGAGCTAGAAGCAATGGAAGTTGTGATCAAATACTTTTTTCTAATTAGAATAATAGATAAAGGTAACAAGAAAAATCTACATCTATTGAGTAACAAATAAAGGTTTTACTCTGTCACCACATATACAATTAAAAAACAGATTTTTAGAATACCTGCTAATTAGAAAGTTAATAAATTTACCTCAGGTATCATTGTCATACAACATCATTACCCATCCTCTTTAAATGTTTGTCTCTTAGAGCAGATTCACATTCTTTCTTAGGACAGCACAATACCATTATAACTATCGAAATTACTGATTTTTAATTATCTTTAAGAGGTTAACACCTTTTTTGACCTACTGTATTTATGATTTTACCTCTATTGATTCTAGCTATGCTCCCACCTAAGTGTGCTACAAAAGAAACTATAAATGTTTGCTGGAAACAAAACTGGAATATTGACTTGTTGCACAGTGTTTATTGCAGAAACAAAACAGCCGTAGGCATTTTTAACACTCATATATTGTAAGGTTACAAAAAAAAAACCCTCAAAGCTCAGAAGCCATTTTCTTAAATCTACACAGGAGCCAATTTCATGACTACACACGGAATTTTTAAAAGACATTGAAGGTACTGTGCACAATCCTCTTCCTATCCCTACACAGACATGGCCTAAGCAGCATTATCATTACAGAATGAGACAAGAAAGAGAAAATCAACCCAAAGCTCAAAAAATATTGTTTGAAAGTCAAGTTTTATTATTCAAAAGTTACAAGTAAAGGCTAAGGATGTTTTGTCTTATTTCGCAAATAGGAGAAGGTGTCAGGAGAATTCTGTATCTACATTTCACATATATGTGGAGTGAATGTACTTGCAAGGAATAGGTTTTGGGGGTAGGTAAGATGCTTAACAAGCCTAAATTAAAATTCAAATATAGCTACGTGACACCTATAGTTAAGGCTTTAAAAGTCCCCACTAAATGATAGAATGATGAAGCATTGCCAATTCAAATGAAGGCACTGTTAGGAAAAAGGAATTGCTGCAAGGCCTACCTACAAATGAGACAGGACTCCCCATGTGAGGCTGCAACTAACCACTGCCCTCACACAGAATGGCATGGCAGTACACATCTTCGAGCCAGTATGTCACCTTGGGAGCCCGATACTGCTCTTTTCATGTCTGCCTCTGCAACTGCTGCTTCAATGATCTTGATGCCCAGTGGAGAGTTACCTGCATGAAAAAATACAAAAGGGAAAACTGAGGCAGTAGGGGCCCTCTTTCCCTCCCAACTGCCCAGTAAAAATCGGTTTATGTGTCCATGCAGGAAGATTTTATTTCAATTTAAGACCAGTCTTGTTTCTTGAACTTCAGAATTCCTTGAATGTTCAGAAAAAAACATACAACACCCAAACCATCTTTCAATTAACCATTCTTGCACTCAGCAGCCTGTAAGAAAGAGATAGATTTCCTTCTTCCTCACAGATTTTTTTCTCTCCATTACTTTACTCTTCCCTCGCAATTTTAGACAGATTTACATCTTTTTGTTTCAACTATAGCCTGGTGGTAATAGCACGCCTGCAAATCTCTACACAGGCACATAGAAGAGACACTGTCTAACAGGTCAACTTGAGAGCAGCTGTTCTGTACTTCCCGCCAGCAGCACCAAATAGGATTTAGGAATCACAAAATAGGTCTGGTTGGAAGGGACCACCGTGGGTCGTCTGGGCCGACCTCCCTGCTTAAGCAGGGTCATCCCAGAGCGCACTGCACAGAATTGCATCCCGATGGTTCTTGAATGTTTCGGAGGAGACTCCACAACCTCTCTGGGCAAGAAGCGCTGTTCTGCAAGAGACGAGGCCCCAAGAAGAGAAATGGACTTTGCTTAAAAAAGTAGAAAAATGGACTTTGCTTAAAAAGCAGAACAATGGACTTTGCTTAAAAAGCAGAACAAGCCAGAACAAAGGTCCCGCAGGCCCGGCCCGGCCCGCCCCGGGTGCTGCTATAAACCGCAGTCCCAGCCCGACCTCCCCGGCAGCTTCCCGGCCTGGCCAGTCCCGCAGGGCTCCATCCGCCCCGGCTCCGCTGCGCTCCGCCCGCTCCGCCCGCCATGGCCGCCTCCTCCTGCTCGGCGGCCGCGCTGCGCCCGGTCACTCACGTCATCTTTGACATGGACGGGCTGCTGCTGGGTGCGTAGCGCGAACCCCGCTCCCCTGCACGGCCGGTCCCGCTCCGCCCCGCCCGCCCGCCCCGACGGCGAGGGGCTGCAGCTGGCGGCGGGCAGCCTCCTTCCCTTCCCTTTCCCCTCCGCCTCCCGCCGGCTGTGGCTGCTCATTCACGGCCTCCCCGCTCCGGGCGAGCAGCCAGAACGCCCCGGGCGGCGCTGCTAAAAGGAGAGTGAAGGGATTGAAGCAACAGGAAACCAGTTAATGCCTTCTCCTGCTTCCGCTACTTGCTGCCTTGCGGGGGCAGATTTCGCCTTAAGAGTAGCGGAGCCGGGGCTGAGCGAGAGCTTGCTCTGGCTGGCGGAGGCTGAGCGAGGCGGGGGTGGCCGTGGGCAGGCTGGGGCTGAGAGCCAGGGAAAGCGGGCAGGGAGCAGGACGGGCATGCAGCGTGGGGCTGAGAGCCAGGGAAAGCGGGGGGGGAGCAGGACGGGCANTGGGGCTGAGAGCCAGGGAAAGCGGGCAGGGAGCAGGACGGGCATGCAGCGTGGGGCTGAGAGCCAGGGAAAGCGGGCAGGGAGCAGGACGGGCATGCAGCGTGGGGCTGAGAATCCCCCGGGCCGGGAGCAGCGTGTCTCGGAGGGCAGGACAGCGCTCGGCAGCCTGTAGCGCTGCCTTCTCCAGCTGATGAGCCTGTAAACCACTCTGATAGTTTTCTCTTAGTTTTGGTATCAGTAGACTTTCTGCTTTGCAGGGTTACTCTGTAGCTTGATGATTCCCGTGCTGCAGCTCGATTAGATCTTGATGTTTGGATAGTCGCTATAACTAGGACAGTTTTTAAGTCTGCTCTTAACTATTTGCTGAATCAGAACTCTCTGGTGAGGAATAATGGAATATTTAGGCATGGGACTTAGTTTTTGAAATAGTTAATGTGAGTTATCACACAGGAAACCGTTCTGGATATAGGTGAATCCCTAAAAGGTGTGAGATGTGTGCCTTCTTTCTGCGAAACCTGAATTGTTGCAGAACTGCAACAATTGTTGCACCTGAAGACTGCTGTGAAGTTTGATGAATTACA